AATGCATCCCATTTATTTCTGTGTCTTGACCATGTCGGGAATAACTTTCTGCTTCATATTTTCATGAATAATTTCTTTGTTTTCTATTTAATGTGGATTTGATTTAGACACCAAATGTACAGTCTACACTCGTTACACAGTAAGTCTAATACACATAGGAGGAAGATCGGTTAGGTATGGTTTCCTTTTTGCAGCACTTCTCCAAAAAATCTCCAAACTATTGGTGAATGCAAATGATCCCAAAAGCTTGAATTTTTGTGGATGCAACAAAAAATCAAGAGGGAAATACAATGCTCAAGGAAACATGTGGTTAGCAATAAAGCAAAAGGGTTTAACAAAAGTGTTCCTTTATTGGGTAATTTTAGTGTGTGAGAAAAGTGAGAAAGGTTCTTGAATCGGACAGGCGAGGCGGGCTCTGCGATGAAGGACCCTCCACCGTCTCCACGGATGGCAAAACAACATTTTACAGTCCAAAAAAAGCTGGAAGCCAGGTCGAATTCACCCGAAATGAATGATGGCTGCATGGAAAGAGGCAAAACAGCGAGGGACGCCAGTTGATGCTCATGGCAAAAATATGGGGGAATAGAAACTCAAAGTTCTGAATGGTAAACTCAGTTCAGAAAATGTCTTTTCCCGGCGGAATTAAATTCAGCTCTCAAGCACTTCCTGGGCCACGATGACCAAGGTGACACGATTTTTTGTCATCCAAAAATTCTTGTACCTGTACTTTAAGTTTCTAGAACCTTCCAACCATTAAGGAACAGCTAGAATTACCGGAAAAAATATAGCATACCAGGAAAATAGTTCCGGTCATCCATAACGACCGCCTTTGAGGTGGAACGCGGACCACACAGATTCTCGTGAGATTGAATTTCAGGCTATATAATTTATGACTCCCGCGTTGCAGCAATATTACTGGTAATACTGTTGCAGTGTATTGACAGTTTGCTTTAAATTGAACAATTAATTTTGACGCAAGGGTAATACCCTTCCCGTTCCGTTCGGCAACACCCGCAGGAAAGTTCTTTGTGATTGTAAACACAGAGTAAAGTAAACACAGTGCGTAAAATCCGCCTCACCGTGGAAAGACATATCTTCAGAAGTCACGGGTTAATGAATGGAAAGTTGAAAAGACAATGAAAAATCATAAACTGGGCTTTAATTTGACTTGCGTCTCAAACGCCTGAGAAACTCGTGAGTATTTGTCCTGATTTTTTTAAGTTTTGGTATTTATCACTGTTGGCCATGGAAGTTTATTTACAGGCCTGCAACCCTACCCTAAATACGAGCCCATAGAAAACACTGCAAAATCGGAACAAAATATCGCCGCCTGTTGACTCTCGTGAAGAGGTTGGCCTCCGTTTTTTCACTGGAAATTCAAGATTTTGGCCGCAAGATCACTTTTCCTTTCAATTTCATGGGGGTTAGCCACGGAAAAAAATGTGTATTCTCCTTTCAAGGAAGACACCCCCAAAATAGCAATAAAAAGTCATTTCTGAATGTCGCCGCCCACCTCTATTCAAAAAAAGCCCGCACTTGGGGCTTTTTATGAATGAAATATCCCGAACTGTAAACTATCAGTCCCAAATTCGGGATTTATGGAAATATTTTCATGATCCGTCCTGATCATAGTCTGTCTTATAGTTAAAATCCTGTTGGATCACAAAATATTAATGAGCCGTTGCGCGCAGAAATACAACGATTTGGTGGACTCCTTTTGCACCCGTCACTACTGCTTAAATCTGGCGCCCTCTACAGTTTTAATAAGCTTTTCGATTCCCGATGAAATTGTAATTACTTATTTTAAAAACCTTCCATAAAAATTTTAAAAAAATCAACTTAAACACTTAAAACTAATAACTAGATGTGGATTTAGGAAAATTTTTTTACAATGTAATGTACGATATACATACGCATTAATTTAATCTTTTTGACCAAGGACATTAACAAAAACATGGCGCTCTTCATAAACTAGCGATTTCTGAAATAACGTTTGCTAGTCAAGTGCGATTTCGACGCAGTTTGCTTCTATTTTCGCCTGAATTATACAATATTTTGAAAGGCAACTTACCTATGCTATAAGGTACATGGGAGTGTAAATTTGGAAACTAATGTCAGTCATCTCAAGAAGTATAGACTATTTTAGCCCCACTACTGTGGCACGGACTCTCCTCCCGATCGGGAGTGAGAGTCCGTGCCACACTAGTGGGGCTAAGACGATTTTAACTAAAGTGTGTATGGTAAAGAATACAGACATGTCATAAAAATGTGGAATATTTCCTATTGTCTTAAACTTGGAGACAGTTTGGAAGCGTTGTGTGTCTGCTCGCGAGCTCATTATTAATATTTTGTGATCCCACTTTTTTTTACAATAAGACTAGAGCCATAATCTCGAGGGATCATACATGTAGTTTTACTACTAGTATTAAGGGGTATCTTCAGAAAAAAGGTGAATTAAAAAAGTTCATAAAATTGAAATGAAAAGTGATCGATCTGGCCATAATCTTAAATTTCCAGCAAAGAAAAATAATGTTGAACTTCCAGTGATCAAAATGAAGGCCTCTTCACGAGGTTCAAGAGTCGGCGCTATTTCGGTCTACGGGTGCATATTTGGTATGGATGTCAGACAACTCAACCGTTCGCCAACTCAACTTCGGACAACTCAACCGTTGAGACAACTCGACCGTCGAGTTGTCCGAAGTCGAGTTGGCAAACAGTCGACTTGTCTGGGCCCCTTTGGTGTGGTGCAACCATAACCCATAAGACTCAGTGGGTCTGAGTTGACTCGAGGTGGGTCCAAGTTGGCGTGGGCCTGAGTTGGTTGTGGGTCCGAGATGGTCGTGGGTCCGAGTTAGTATTAGGTCCGAGTTGGCGTGGGTCCGAGTTGGTCCTGGGTCTGAGTTGGCATGGGTCCTAGTTGGTTTGGGTCCGAGTTGACCTGATCTCTGTCATAATTATAGAGGGCGCTAGACAGGTTTCCGCCATTCTCTTTCCCTTGCACAATGCATGGTTTAGATGGCATTACTTTATGCTAATGTTAAAAAAATGTTGCATCTTGATTCCTCTTCAGCAGTTGTGTACAAAGTATGTGGGGAGTGAAGAGAATTTTCTAAGTATTTCCCAGTAACATCAGTAAATGTTTCTCAGTCCAGAATTTGTGTCTTTCCAGTATTTCTGTAATGTCATAATGACGGACTTTTAATTTTCACTGAGATGATAGGCCTATCTGATGAGAAAAGTGGAGTCAGGATGCAAAATGTTTTCCTCAACAGGATCATATTTGTGTCTAGTTGATGCCAAGTTATATTAGTATGTCAGATGACGATGATGCACCGGTGGCCAAGAGGTCCAAGATTCATTATGGAACCCTGGAAGAGCGACTGAGAGAAGAGGATGGTAAAGGAGCCATTCAGGCTGGAATTGAGGCTGGCAACATCAGCATCTCATCAGGTAAAATTCTGCCAGTGTCATACTTACTGACTGTAATAGGCCGAGATACTATGGTCATACAAATTGGCTTACTTTCCCTACACATTATCTGGCAGAGTCATTAGAGTGGTTATATTGACAGACAGTGTGGAGTGTTGTTCATTTTTACTGGCATCTGTTGGCATTACTTTGTCTCCCTAAATACCTCCCTGTAACTATTGGGGGTTTGTTTTCAGCGGAAACGTTCGACCTTGAAGATCACGTGAGCGAACAGAGGCTGGAGCTTCTTGCCGAATTCGAGAGGAGGAAGAAGGTAAACTAAGTCAAATAACAGCATTTGGTAATATTTTCTTGGTTTTTGCTTTGAACCAGATATGCAGTACTTCAGTATGAGTCTGTGAAAGGTTGAGGTACAGATTGTCACTTAATGAAAAGCCATCTTTCGAATTTTCATGCGTGGGATTTGATTATTTGTTTTCCGTTTTGACCCTCAGCTTCGTCAAATCACCGTGTCGACTGATGATGCCCAGGTCAAGGCCCAGCTGAGACAAAGAGGAGAACCAATATGTGAGTTGCAACACCTCCATGGTTGCAAGTACAAAACAGAGAAATTTAACCACTGTCCTACATAAGGATGCTAGGTTGCAGAAGACTGGAGACGTGACTGTACCTGATCTTATCAATGGCCAGTGACTATCAAATAGCAAGGTTTACACTGGGGGGGTTTTCTCTGAGCAGCTCTCAAAATGCAACGAAATTCAGTACAAAAGAAGAACACCACTGAATGCAACAAAATGCAAGTGTGGATTTGATGGTGCCATGCAATGCACTAGATAAACACAAGCCTCGGTACTATAAAATTACACGTTGTCACTCTGTCACTAACACTGATTTCTAAATGCCACAAAGTGCAACAACTTTTAACCTGTAATTTATTTATTTATGTCCATTCATTCAACTGCATGTTTAGTGCCAATTACAGGATGAAAATGAGTGAACAAGACAATGAAGAAATATTCAGGTTTAGAGGTGGGAGGAAAAAACCACCTGATAAATGTTTCAGGGAAAACCCATGGACCGAGGTAGGAAATGAATACCTAATCCACATGTGGAGCGAGCCGGATTCTAACCAGGCCCCCAAAGGTGAAAAGCGAGGAAAGAAATGCTACCCCAACCTTGCATTATTTTCATGTGCATGTAGCAGGTTTAAGAATCATGTGATTGGTCCTCATTCTCAAGGTTTAGTTCAAAATACATGGGTCGTTTTTCAGTACTTGACTTGGGCTCCGTCTCAGGCTTCAACTGTTTTTTAACTTCATGACTTTGAGATTGTAAGCTCAACAGTAAGTTTGATAGAGCCACAAAACATCAAGTAAGATGCAAAAGAGCCAAACATTATAGTACTTTAATTTAAGTTAAACGCTTCAGGCCCACAATCGGGGATTGGATTTCCTACTCGAGGCCTGAGAGTTGAGTATTGGAAAACGGCCATAGGATCCTGGTTGATTTGACATGTTAGTGGTAAATTTTTTTCAAGCAGAGTGGGGTTGGGTTAGAGGTAAAAGAAGGTTTTGAATGCGCCCTGTGACACATTACTTGAATAAATGAAATGGTGTATCTTTTTTTCTGTTGGCAACAGGTCTGTTCGGAGAGGATAAAGCAGACAGGCGAGAACGTTTACGCCAGTTGCTAGCACTTACTGGAGATGACGAGTTAATGCGACAACAGAATGAAGAACTAGAACGGGAGAAGAAGAAAAAAGAGGTTAACTGCCATTCACAGTGGAAAAAAAAAGATATTCGTTAAGATCATGTCTGAATTACATGGCTATGGCTGAAAGTAACACAAGTCCATGGGAATTGCATGAAGCTACCGGCTTGCGGCTTCCATACGTGCACATGCTATTATCAGCCACAGCCAGGAATTTGGACATGGCCCAATCATAGCAGAAGAGTGTTTTATACATCAAAGTTGAATGAGTTTTAATAGTGTCCTGCTGGCGTTGAATTATATACAGTATATTGGGCTCAATGTCCATTTTTGACATGTCACCACTTTTGCCGGTCAGATTTATAGTTTCAGAAAACACTTCTAGAGAGCAGGGTTCCAGTCATGTGTACTTGTCCACAGTGTTGCTGTCAGTCGTCTTAAGTTATTATTTCTTATCAGGAAGAACAAACTACTTGGTACCACGAGGGACCAGACAGTCTGAAGAGAGCCAGATTATGGATTGCAGAATACTCCTTGCCAAGGTTGGTGTTTAGTTCAAGTTTGAATAATTTGTATTATGCAATTACTTGTCTGTAAGATTAGAATTGTCTCTTTTCAAATTATACTTTAACCTGATCATAAAGATTTATGTGCTTGATTATGTTGCTTTAGAATGTAGTGTATGCTGACGACAAAACTTCAGATTTTATCTGTAGATTATTGCAGTGAGTTTTCTCACACCATTTTCAAATGACAGTATTTGGAACACAAGTATCAAAGATGTTAAGTGTCTCTTCTGTTTAGAGTCTCAAGTACTACACAATTTAAATCTGACTTTTTGTGATGGCTTCAGGGCGGAAAGAGAATACAGGAGGCCAAGCAGGCTAAGAATATCCCAGAATCCAAGAGGAACGCGAGACACAGGAACTGCACCGGCATATCAGGGTGAGTGGACCACCTCTAATCTGAACCCTCCTGTATCCTTCAAACTCCACCAGGGGAGTTTGGTAGGATTTTGTTGGATTTAGGAAGGTGGAGCTGCTCCGTGATTGTCCTTCCTTGGGGCTTGACGCTTCTTAAACACAAAGATACAAATATCTGCCTTGGGCTGCCTCACAGTTTTAGATTTGTAGGATTTGAAAGGGTCTCTGCAAGTTGGAGTGAACCCTTACCTTCCCATGACTTCCAAAATCCATCAGGATTGTTCATGAGGATTTGACAGGATTCACCAAAGTCACAGTCCATTGACTGAGTATTTTAGGAAGGTTTCCAGCAAAAATACACAGAGAATCAAGGGCAAAGAAAACAGAAATGAATACTTAAATCAGAGTCACTAGTTTGGATATCATATTGTCATGCACTTCAATTACAGCATTCCTTCACTGAAAAGTGTTGTCACCAAAGGGTAGAACAACATCCACATCAATTTTTAAATGTACTGTTGCGGTCCAGTCCCCAGCCGATCGCGACATCGCAACCGTGCATACCTAAAGAGTACCAGTGCACAACTGACATTGAAATTGTCTCAATCTGTCATGGAAAAACCTTCCACAATGTATCAGACAAGTCCTAAAGTCGGGGAGAAAGTGAATTTGGTCCTGCCTTGGAAGATACCGAGGGTCAAGAATTCTGTCAGAAAACAGACCCAAGGAGAATCGCAAAATCTCTGAAAACAACCCATCTTACATTGTCCAAGGCTTCGTGTCTACAGCGCCATCTTGTAGTAATTGGCCGGGGGCTGGAACGCCACAGTATCAACAGACTAACACAGATCTGTATGCCATCTGCCCTTTCTCTGTCATCTGCCCTCTGACGAAAACCATATTTCTTTGGTATTGATATCTAAAGGGACAGTATGTCTTTGAATTTGTTTTCTAGGCACTTACAGCTGAGGCAAGTCAGATTGGAGATACACGGCCTATCTCATATTGTCAATTCAGTCCTAATTCCAAAATCCTTGCAACAGCGTCCTGGTGAGTATAATATACAAAGCTTGTATGGTGATTTAATAACTCAGTCTCAGGGGGTAAGCAAATATTCACATATCTTCAGCATCTCCACAACTGCGTCTGAGCCTGGATGAATGACAGAAAACGTGATGTGAACTTGAATAGCTTGAGTCTCGCTGCGGATTAATCATGGAAATCCACTGTCGAGTCATTTGAATCAGGATGATGTCACTGTTTTTTTTGTTTCTGTAGGAGTGGACTCATCAAGTTGTGGTCCATCCCAGAACTGAATGAAATCAGAATCCTAAGAGGTGAGTGCTCAACGGCAGCCTGGACATGTCTGAATTACTTGGCTGCGGCTTGAAATCACACATGAAACTATGGTTGTGGCTGCAGCCATGTCCCATAGAGACGTGTGTGATTCAAGCCGCGGCTGAGTAATATAGACACGGCCTTTTGAGAATTTGAACCCAGGTATATTCTCCATACTTGGGCCTCTTTTTCTGTCTACAGCTTCAGGCTGCAGTGTCATGGCTCTAGGCCCCCCTCAGTTAAGACGACCCTCCCACTCAATGGAGCAACGTCGCAGAAATATCGAAATTGTCAGTCTAAGATATAAAGCCGAATGTTGAAGTATTTTTATTACATTCCCAAGATAAATGTTGACAACTAATTCAGGGGGTTGAGATAATGCTGAGATTTAATAATTAGGTAAATTCACAGAGGTGGGGGCCAACTGAAGAGTCTCCCCACCAGCCTGCCTCTGGCTCAACACTTCATTGGTTCCGTCCCCAGGTCACAACCACAACGTGGGTGCTGTGGTGTTCCACCCCCAGGCCACATTATCGCTGGATGACGCTGCCTGCTGTATGGCGTCGTGCGCTGCTGACGGGAGCGTCAAGCTCTGGAACTTAAAAAGGTGATTTCATTCAGCTTGTGACATCTGACTTTGTCCTAATCTGCCATGTTTCGGCTACAGCTGCAGTTTTAACACTGAAGTACTGCATTAAAAAAGCCATAGCCATACACAAAAATGTAGTAATGACTATGGGTTGGTACCCCACCATGCCCATAATTTGTGGTGGTAAAGAATACCACTTTACTGCATTTACTGGTACCTGACTGTTTCTCTTTTAATCAGTGATGAACCGGTAGCCAATATTGAGGGTCACGCTGCCAGGGTAGCACGTCTGGCTTATCATCCGTCAGGAAGGTTTCTGGGAACAACCTGGTAAGAAATTCAATAGAGGGATTGCACTTCCCTTTTTTTTTCAATGGGTCCTTACCATGTTAAATAGCTATTACTGAGTACCAACTGCAATTGGGTCTACCATTTGTCAACAGGTTTGGTTGGAAAAATGTCACTTTTTATCTTGGCATCAATTTTTAGGTGTACCAATTGCAGATATGCCGATGTGCAAGTTTTAACGCACGTGCGGTTCAGAATTGCTTTACTTCATTGTAGGATGGGCCCACCGTCAAATTAATGCGGCAAGCACATGGTACCGTACTCTTTACATTAGCATTGACGTAACACTTGCCCTATTTTTGCCAGTTTTGACATGTCCTGGCGTCTCTGGGATCTGGAAGCACAAGAGGAGATTCTCCACCAAGAGGGCCACAGCAGGGCAGTGTACTCCATTGCCTTCCAGGGGGATGGCTCCCTATGTGCAACAGGGTATGTCACTGTATCTGTCTGGAGGATCCTCAGGCTGTGTGTCCGACTGAGATGCAAAACTGTTGGAGGAATTTCTCCACAGCTTTCCAGTAACTTTTCCAACACGGAAATAACACCTTGTAGAAGAATTGATATATGCACCAAATTATTCAGTGCTTATGTTGGCTCCAAATACCATGTTTCGTCCTTGAAACTTGCTGCCATAAACAGAAAGGAATAACTTCACATGCATACTTTTTATTGTTGGATGGAATTAATGGCTTCAATAACATATAAAAAGCTAAGATATTTGCCCTTATTCTCCAGCGGCTGTCATTCTGAGCCATTGTCTCATCTTGCCAAAGGAGGTGTTATTCTTGTGTTAATGTAATTTAATGTTAATTAATTGAACTTCATTATTCAGTGGTATGGATGCCTTTGGACGGGTGTGGGACCTGAGAACTGGCCGGTGCATTATGTTCATGGAGGGCCACCTCAAGTCTGTCCTGGATTTGAGCTTCTCCCCAAATGGGTACGTTTTTCTCTGACTATACTACTATTCACCTTGTCCTCTTGGTAAAGTGCACAGAGGTGGTCATTGGCCATGCGTTGTAAACTGTCAATGGGCAAGCGGTGTAAACTGTCATTGGCCATGCAGTGTAAACTGTCATTGGGCATGTGGTGTAAACTGTCATTGGGCATGTGGTGTAAACTGTCATTGGCCATGCAGTGTAAACTGTCATTGGCCATGCAGTGTAAACTGTCATTGGCCATGCAGTGTAAACTGTCATGCATTTGTGCATCCACACAGAGTGCCAAGTGTGCCTCTTTGAGTCTCTAATAGTTAACCTTCACAGACTTACTTGGGGTGGGCTTCGAACCTTTAACTCCCACCTGCTAGTGCTGGAGCTTTAAGTGCTTGACTACCAACCATGCCAAAGTCAGCTTGTCAACTCAAATCAGCGTTAGCTCATCGAAGGAATAAGAAATGGCACCTTGTTACACAAATTTATCACGGGAGGTGAAATTGAAGAGTATAATTTATTTACGCTATCCTGACAGAAGTCTTTTTCAAGTGGGAATTTTACATTACCCTTTTATCTGCTAGCCATCTTCATCCTTCACATTTTTCTAAATTTTTTATTTCATCCCCATAGTTACCAGCTTGCAACTGGCAGTGAAGATCACTCCGTTAAGATATGGGATCTCAGGCAGCGCAAGTGCGCTTACACCATTCCAGCCCACAGCAACATAGTCTCGGGGGTCAAATTCCAAGGTAGGCCATAACCGTCAGTGGATTTTAGTCCCCTCTTCAATCCAACTTTCATTTCCATAATAACCGGTATTGAGTTTGTTTTGTTTTTGTTTTAATAGGTTCATCCGGTGACTTTCTAATCAGTTGCTCATATGACAACACAGCAAAGGTAAAAAGCTCTTCCAAACTTAATTTATAAATACCTAAGATAATGTGGCTGTTCCTATTGGTCAGTAGCCTGTCACGTGGCCAGTCTTAAACAGTTGATAAAGCACTGGCTGACTGTGCTTCACCTCTCGCAGCATGCTTCATGCACACGCTGATCTCCATATAAGGAGATTATTTATGACTTCTTGTGGAACGCACCATAGCTCGGCACGAGTGATATTTGAAAGAAATGAAGTCAACTCGTCCCTTGTTTTCGGTTCTGGTATTATTACCATTTATTCTCCTGATCTGCTGTACATTCAAGTGTTTTCACATACATGTATTTCACGGGTCTCTGCAGGGTTAAAGCAGCACCTCTATGTGGTTATTCACAACTGTCACCTTAGGTTACTAAGCAGTACAGTTCACACCTCATGGAAAAGGTGAAAGCAAACTTTACAAGGTTGGCAATTGTAATTTCAGTGACGTTTCACCATTTTCCTGACAAATTTTCTTTGACGTTCACGCACAGTACGTACCAATCTGACTGTAGTCAATTTCATTGCACTGTCTGAGCTCCTTTAAAACCAAGAAAAATTGCCTGGATCATCACCACAGAGATCCCATGAACAGTTCCCTTGCCGTCAACTCTCGATAGATTTTTCTCCATTTTTCCATTACAGGTGTGGGCGCATCCCGGATGGTCACCCCTAATCACGCTAGCAGGACACGACAGCAAGCTCATGGCGGTGGACATCTCCACCGATCAGCACTACATCGCCACGGCGTCCTTCGACCGCACGTTCAAGCTATGGGCGTCAGAGTAGGTGGATTGCTTTCACAGCCCGTTTGGGCTAAACTTCAGCAACTGTCAGGACAGTCTGGGGCAGCTTGCTCGCAGGCTGATCGCAGTGCGAGGTCAGTCCAGCATACTTTATCAGAAGTTGAAATAAAACCAGACCAATTTTTCTTTAATTAACTGCCTGCACGACAAAGATGTGGCCCTGATCAATACACCTGACAGGTTTGAGGTTTAGGTAGAACTGTTAGTGTAGTGAAACCATGTTATGTAAACTTGAATATGAGATACAGCAGGCTCATTAAACACCAAGCTTTATGTACTTTAATTTTTCATGTATTAATCTTTGTTTTTTCGTACATGCTCTAACCAGAATTTCACTGACTACATGTACATTTCTCATGGGTCCCATCTTGACCGGGATATTTTAGAAGTGCTCATTGGCACTTGAAGTTTGTAGAAGTTCAGGTGTTCTTTCTGGTGTGTTACTGTGAGTTTGAAACAAGCTATTCAGGCCGTAACTGTCGTGTCTGGTTTCCCCTCGGAATGCACCCAGATTGTTCAGAGAAAAAAAATTGGAAGATCGTGGTGATGCAACCCCATTTCATTTGTGAATGGTTTTCTTAATAAAATGATCCTTAAAAAAACACCTGTGTGATTACATTTGGTCGAGACTGTGTTGAGAGGGTGCAGAAAATGCCATCAACATTAACAGCTGAACGGACACTGCATTCAACTCTATACAGGTACATATTTATTTCAAGATTTGTGTACATTTGTACATTGCTATTCAAACATATTTTTTTACATTACAAATACTGACTACACCACATACTACAGATGGCTCAACAGTACTTTAAACTTACATTTTGGTGAGTCCTATCTGAATGCACCAAAATGTTCCCACCAACAGAAAGTACGCTTAGGCTGTGTCCGAAATGGGCTTCCAGAGCTCCAGCAAGGTCCATTGTCTGCGTGTCTCCACGTACTTTCAGTGAAGTGAAGACCTAGGCCTAGCTCTAAGCAGATTCGGATGCAGCCTTAGGCTGGCAGTGCTGTTTCAAAGCATCATGGACCAACTTGTTATCTGACAGAATGGAGAGTTTTCACGAGCCTTACCTAAGTTCCAAGAAAGCACTGTAGATACCTAACTTTGTGGATAGATTATGCACCGTATAAATACATATATCATTTTCATTATGATTACACTGTTTAACATTCAGCATGATTGGCTTAATGGTAACACCTCCCGTGTGTAACAATAAAATATAAAATCACACACAATTACAAATTTCACCACATTGGTGTCAACGTGGTGGCTCGATAAGATTTTCACACCATTATTTTAATAGATTTACCTTTATCACAATAACAAGCGATCACGTGTAGACTCTCTGTCCTTCAAATTACCTCGAATCTTGCTGAAGTTGTATTAGCCCTGAACCTCCTGGATCCTTCAAAATCCACCGGATTTTTGGAGGATTTTGTAGGATTGAGGAGGGTAGAGCCCAGCCACTGTTACTCGGCAATGGGCTCAATGTCTCTAGTAAGAGCAAGCACAAGGAATGGTGATATTTGTTTCCTAAACAGTGGAAGACTTTTGAAGATTCAGGATGGCTCCCAACAATTTATCTTGGATAGTAAAGGTGACAGAATCAGGAAACTAGAAGTGGAAGCTGTACTTGAAGAAATAATCATGGTGCAAATGTGCGGATCTGATCTGCCTTGAAGAACCCACCACCCCTATGCAGAAACTCAATTCACTGAAGTAATGTGTACCCCAACCTGAACAATCAAACCAGCTCTTAGTCTAACAGAATAATTACCAATTGTGAAAACAAATTCAACAGAAAGAAAGCGCTTTATAGCAAGTACTCAGACCTAGAGGATGTCTGTTGGCATTTCAGCGTGTACTCTATACATTGTTCGCTATTGCTTTGACTGAGAGGAAAAAAAATAAATTTTAAGTAGGCAAGGTAAACACAGTGGAAGATATTTCAGCATGTCTCTGTCAAAAGCTGATTGAAAATTACAATGGAATGCCATTCAATCCTCAAATTTAGTGACAATGTAAGTTTACCAAACTATCAACTGCCGGAATGTTTGCTGTTTATCTACCACTGATTCATTTCAAAGTAGATCTGGATTATTGTTAACTCTCTGACATGTTGAGATTGGTAAATCAGTGAAATTTACAATTACCTGTTTCACAAGAAAATTTTGCAACAAGACTACAGGAATGATTTTTCAATAATCAAGAGGACTAACCAGTCATTCGCTATTGACTATCTGGACAAATGGTTGAAAATATATTAATTTGGGAATTTCTATGAACTGCTTAATGGCACATCACGACAAGTTGAATGGTGATGCAACTGTAAATGATATTCGCCCATAATTTTGCCATTCAAAAAATAAATCTTTTCACACCATTCCAGACATTAAGAGGCCTTTAATCAATCTTTGATCATAATTCTTCTTGTACTAGACCACTTTCACCTTTGTGCCGATTACAAACTCCAACCGCATGTTTGAGGGTTGGGTTTCTTTAGCATGCATGTCCCCCTTTAGCATCTAAATCAATACAGTTTCCCTTCCAGGTTGACGAAACGGCGGTGCTCCTTGTGGTTGATCTTATCATAGGACGCCCCCCGCCAGGGGGCGTGGTCCAGCGTGATCTCGCCGTTCACGTACAGCTTGTCTGCCCTGCCATTTAGGGTGCGTCGGTAGAAGAGCACGGGCTCATCTGTACTCTTTGGCATCTTGCCAAAGGAGAGGCGGAGCATACGCTTGGACAGGTCCTTGGTGTCCACACTTTTGTCGCGAGGGCCCATGGCCGTCTTGGCACGCACCGGAACTTCACCTGAAATTTAAAAAGAAATTATTGTCAGTGCAAATTGTCGGGCTTTCATCAAGAATCACGCAGGCCTCGTGGCACACAACCAAAATGTTGAAAACCATGATTTTGACCAGCACTGTTGTCAAATCCTCCATAGGTCCTGCAGAAGCTCATCACAAGTCATTCACTGTTAAGCCGAGTCACAAGCCATTCAAATGAACTGTGACGAAAGTCTTCCTTTGTCATTGTTTACCATGTTACATATTTGTGGTCTCATGAAAGGACTTGCGACTGGATGTGTGGAGGGACTTGAGGAAGGACTCGAGATGGACTCAACAGATTATGACATCATTATGCATGTATGCCTTAAGTGACTGAAATCAGTATACCGATAACGATGAACCACTGTGAAAATACGTGTATCAGAGATGTAATCTGGTAGAAAATAACAGCCAGAATTGAAGTTTAGTCCACAAGTCAAACACAAGTCCGCTCACTAGTCGTACAGAGTGGACAGTGATGAAGGAATGCTTTGGCCACAGTTCACTTGAAAAATTTTCAAGATGACCTTAAACTGCGTAACCTGTGACAGATTTTGTGATGAAAGCATTATTTTCTCAAGATACAACTTATCAGTATGGGTCAAAGGCATCAGTAGACAACTTCGGATTTGGAATGATTCAGTGAGGGTCTGCCAGTCAAACTTACTGTCTGTATGCGACCGGTGGTGCTTGGCGCTCTGCACCGCTCTCCTGGGCGGGTAGGTATCTTTCAGAATCTCCCTGTTGGCCCTGGTCTCCCCTGCACCCACTGGTCTCGGGGGTGCGTACTCCTTGGCCCTTTTGGCCATGTCGCTGAGTGCCCGGTGAGCCTGGTCAAAGATGAGGGGTACCAGGCTGACCACCCCACCGAAAAGCACTCGGGCCTCCGCACAGCTTAGATGGTTCACCTAAAACAAGACAGAGGCTCAGAAGTTAGGGTCAGCGAGTATGGCACGTGTGAGTGCAGTTCAGACATGGCTACATTGGCCTAACATACTTTTTAATATAATGTGAGTTGGCTATGGACAAATGACTAAAAAACTGTTGACTGCTGAATCACATTATGTTGTAAAAAGTCTCAGGCCTTCCCTACCTCAGGGCCTCCCGTAACATCCATTGATGTGTTCTGATTGAAGAAATATTTTCACAAAATCGCTCCGTGCATCATTTATGTCATGTCATACAATTTCCTTTCTGTGAAACCACTTCCAAACAGTCATAAAGGAATCACACAGGAACGCCTCTGTCGCTGTTCACATGAAGGAGACTGGACAGCTGGATGACTTTTAGTGGGGGTGTGGTAACTTGTGATGGACTCGTCTAAACTGATCAAATACCTTCAATATAAAGATCACTTTTTGAATTTCAAAATGACATCTGAAACTTGACAGTTACACACTGACCTCTTGGTGTGGGTACTTGGCTCTGAGGTCGGACAGGTCATGGTTAGGACTGAGTAAGACCTTCCATCTATCCAGTGCCAGCCCGATGGAGCCTTCCTTGGCACTTGAGCCAGCAACATTCTCCATACTACGTAGGATGTTGCCGAGGTCATTCAGGAGGTCAAGCCACTGCCTCATGGCACGTCGGTCTGTGGCGTTCTTACTCCGGTCATACATTTGTTTGACCTGGTGAGAAAGAAATTTAGGGCAAATGACACCTTTCAGGTACAACCATACATCTCTTAACAAGTATGGCTCTGAAAGCCAGCAGTGAGAGTATCCTCAATGTTTCGAGCAGCATACTCTGTTTGTCTTCAAGAGTCCTGAGCTCTGGTATACATGTGAAATGGTGAAAATACCCTCAAGAGAGACATGGTTGTACCCAAAATCTATCATCTACCTTAGTATGGCACCATGCAAAGCCTCCAATCCTTCCTTTCAAACAAATCTATTCTGGGTCTGTTCACATCATTCTCCCAGCTTCACTGTCACAGGGATATTGCATGTACTTGTGAACTGATTGGTGACTTGGCTTACAGTTTGGCTTGTAAGTGGATCGAGGGACTTGATGAAACACGATAAAGCTTTGTCCAAAAGTTCTGGCTGTGGCTTGAAATAACATGTTCCTAGGAAAGCCGCTGGCTACTAGCTCTAGCCACTTCTCATAGACGTGTGTTTCTTCCTGCTGGAGACAGTTGATTTGACCTTGGGCTAAAGTCTTATGAAAACAACCTAGCTAAACTTAAGGAACAGCGCCATACAAAGCAATGGATAATTACTGTTCTAATCAGCTACATGTACATGAGACGAACGTGATTGATGGCTACCTTTCTGTGAGCCAATACCTGAGTGATTGTTCGGACGGGTTTGGTTCGTTCAAAGGCATCGCTGCGGGAGTGCTCAAGGGCTGCAACAAACGTGAACTGTTGCTGCTGAAGTGTCTTGTATCTCTCTCGTAGCCGTGCCACATCGTTCTTCAGACCATCCATACTGCAGGCGATGACACGTTACTGGATCTGAAATAAACAACACCTGGCTAGTGAAAAGAGTCACTCAGTGCCAATTTTCCTACATCTCAGAACCGTTAGCTGACTGACTCAAGCACCTGTCTTTAAAAATGTTAGATATGTGCATCTTAGAAATGCACGGCAATGTTCAGCTCCCAAATCCAAGTTGCTCCTGGGATGGAACCATCTGGCAAATACAAAAAGATGACAGGGTCACTGTTTGCACTCAAGAAAATGGGAGCTAAATTTTCAAGGTTTTGAGATGCACTGAGTCACTTGTTTGTTTTAAATCCAAATCCAATACTTTTAACAACATTTAGGTGATTTTTAATCAAGAAATCAATTTTGTTTTCCCGAGAAGGTATTAACACAGTTCTTTTGCTGAGGCCACTTGGGATACAGAGCAACTCACAAAAGATAGTAGGGAAGGAGAAATGAATTCTGGTTTCTCTGGAAAGAGAAATTTTGCAGCAAAAGGAAATTAATCCCACAATGTTAATGAGGAAAGGCTCCAAACAAAAGGCTCTTTTTTACATCATGGGTGCACTGATACAAAGACTTGCCTACCAAAACACATTAGGGACATCCCAAAAAGAATTCTCAATTCTTAAAAATTTGTAATATTTCATAGTTCAGGCATGAAAACTTTCCTTCAATAAGATTCCTCATATTCCATAATAAATTACGAAATTTCCTCCATTTTTAACCTCCTGGTTAACGGTATGCCCAAGTTTGGTGGAAGACACTGAATCTCAGGGAGGTGAAAAAGTGTCTCCCCCTCTACACCAGCAGTCTCAAATTCTATTTTTTTCACCTACGCGCGCATGTTTAAAATACGTCTGTGCATTAAAAGCCAATTCTCACGACTGCCCCTACACAAAAGTACATCTGTACAACCTCTGCCAACATCATCCATAACAGAGGTTTTCCTAGGACCAAAGTTCAATCCTATCATAAATTATATTGCTATATTTTCCTGAGCTTCTGTAGGAACCTTTGACCTTTGAATACCCGACGCTGTGCCAAGGGGTTGCCGTGGTGATCCATGGTGTGGGCTGTCTCAAATTGCTCCTTTTGTGTTTGTTTTTCTGATATGAGTAAATGGTAATTGCTGCACAAGTGTCTACAGTCTATTTTCCTCACTGACAAATCAAAGTTTCGAGCCACAGATCAAACATCTCTTTTGGTGCCACGTAAAGAAATAAATATTTTGAACAGAACCACATTTTTTTTTTCTTTCAGACATGAGATTACAGCTACATGTAGGCGGCTAGTTTCTTTTCGGATTTTTGCATCAATTTCGACACTTTACGAGTACCATATACGTATCCATGAGAAATGAAATCTGCAGATATGCTGTAGAATTTCTCCTTGATAAAATCAAGAACCATTCAAGCACGGCAAGTAACTCGGGAAAATATACACTATAAAAATCTTAATTTCTCCAACTTAGAGGAAAGTAAACATTTTATGAATTCAGTTAATCTCAATACATTAAAACATCTAATGGGTACAATGAACAACAGTAAGACATTTGATCCATTTGTCCATTTTTGAAGTAGAAACATTATTTTAAAAGTTTATAAAAATGAAAACTAATACACTGCAAAAGATTTTGCTCATTCAAAACTGTTCCTGTGCATGTTAAATGAAGGATTAAGTTTAAACCAGAAGAATCAACAGCAACAGTGACATTACCTGAGCAAAAGCCAAACGTATGAACTTTTTGGTAACGTTTAATTATCTCCAAACGTAAGCATACAATATTGTGAAAATAAACAGTGAAGGTGATTGGAGGTCAAATGAGCTTCAGGCACATTGAGAACCTGTGTCCTTGTGTTAAAGCTAAACTTTGGGAAACTGAAGTAGGTCAATGGAAATATGAATTGAAAAAATAATAAAGCCATTACCACCAGGCAATTGAGAAAATTGAAGTTGGCTTACTCTTGAAACTAAGAAAACCCATTCCACTTTTTTAACAATTCGCATAATTCACACAGGAAAGTTGTGAATTGTGTCATGTGTACTACTGGTTGTGTGTACAACTATAGTATGACCAAAGCCAGAAATAAAAGAAATTTGGAAGTTTGCATTAATGGACTGAAGAATCTGAAGATTGAAATTTGACAAAAAATATGTAGGCCTAGTTCAGTAGTTTCAGAACTTTAATTGAAATGCAATCAAATGTTTGAAACATAAATCTTCCCAATGTAGTCAATGTGCAACATTGAAGATGGAAGATAATTTCTAAACGCCTATCATGTAATAAATGAAACTATCTGCTAGCGGATGCACAGGCTTCCTATTTAGAATAGCACTGGCCACATGTACCGCTATACATGTACACGCAGAGCACAGTGACAGCCTAAGGTTCCCACACAGCTGTGCACACCCCATCACATGAACAGGACAGTGCATGACACATGCATGCATATCAACGTAAACAAAATGGTTGCCAAGTCTCTTTCGGAATGTGCCCATCAAATCTTTCACCCACCTGTGAACCGACATTTACGACTCGTTTTCCAGTTTCAGTTCAGTAAACATCTAAGTGTGCACACAATACGGCATAAAAGTAGTAGAAAGTTCTTTCCACGATGCAAAATCGAAAAAATCCGACGCTAAAGTCGTTGCTAGGAAAGTGACTCGTAACCCGTCCCACGATAGAGTGTCCCAAAACTTTCCCGGCATAGGCCTATGTGTCCGTTTTGTGAGCGTCGTTTGAAAAATAGGTTTGCTCTCTTTGACATCATCATTATTCTCACTTACCGTTTTTATTTTTCTTTGCCTCAGAAGAAAAATTCAAAGGAATCAAAATCCCAACAGACGAGTTTATTCGCAATTTGCTCTGAGGGGCTGCACGCGCACATGTACATGTACTGTACATTCAGGTGGGCATACACGTACGTACGTACATGTACGTACGTACGTACGTGTAAGTGCTGGCATCGCCAGCGGCTGTACACATCACCGTGGTGACATACGACGACTGTTATATGTTTGCACAATTTAAGGAACGTGTCAACCAATTAGACTTACAAATGGATCGATTTGTCATTGTCTGCTGTACCTGTTGTACAAAATACTGTGTCTTTCGTTACTGACAAAATATAATTTGACCCGTCATGGAATCAAAAGTAAAGGACAAAGACGGGATCATCCATGTGTTCCTGCTTAGGTTTTAATTATGGAATTAGTCTCGGTGTGGAGGGCGAAGGATGGATAAATGTGATGATTTGGACCGATGAGGACATTTTGAAAAGTAAGATTTCATGCTTACGATTTCATTTTAGTAACTGCCTGGCAGGTGCGCCTGTTGCAAAGGGAAGGGGGCGGAGGGGTGGCCCCCGGAGAGCAGCTAGCTCCTCATCCGCACCCCCCTCAGTTGTGTGCCTCCTCGTGCTCAATGCCGGTGGCGGGGCTGTTGTTTTCGAATGTTCACCTACTACATGTAGATTTAACACTGAGACTAGTGTGCCAATTCAGACCTTCTCTTCAAGGTATGAATTTCTATAAGTTTTAGGTATGAATGTTTTACTCATCAGACCTATTGTGTGTTTAAAGGAGTGCTCCGGAAAGCATTTCAAGTGTGACATTTTCCTATTAACTGCTCTAAAAGAGCCAGGGGCGGATCCCCCCCCACGTATTTTTTCTGATATTGTCGCAGTGCGTTTATTTTTTTCACAAGCTAAGCCTTTAGAAGTTTATAGAGTAATTCTTTCCGATCACTCTTGCGCAGCGCCCATTTTTCTGAGACAGGTCGGCCAAAAAATGAACACTTTTCCGCTGTGGTGCTCAATGTACCTTTAAACATGCGACATAGGTTTTCGCACCTTTGGGTTTTTTGTCAGTATAACGTAGTTACAATATGTTTATCTGAGGAGTAATTAAGTTACGTTACCACTGATAAGGTTAGGTGTGAGATTTGAAGCTTTTCGTGGTGGAGGTAGCAAGTAAACTGGATAGGTTTGCACTAGCACCAACTTGAAGGATACACCTCTTTTTTGAGTGCGTAGGGTTCTGAAAGAAGCGGCGGTACTCTGACAGTATGCTCTGTTTGTCGTCAGGAGACTGTGATGAGGTAGCTTACGTCATATCAGGTGTATTACCACTCCAGCAGGAGTGTTAATCAACCTTGATTTAAACGGGAATAGCTTGTGATGGGGCAAGCAAAATTAACACACCGCACGCCTAGCACAGAAAGAAAGTGTTAGTCTTTTCGCCCATTTATCACTTCGCCCACAACCACTTTGCCCATTTTCTACTTCGCCCATTTACCACTTCGCCACGCGCCATTTCGCCCGTGCCACTTCGCCCACGGCTTTTGAGGAAGACACAGAAAAACTACCTAGTCCCTCCAGAATTCATCCAGAATGCCAGAAAAGATAAAGATTAAATAGTAATACTAAGATACAGTGGATTTGGAGACTGTACAGGTTTCTTTGATGTTAAGCCGATGCACTGAGCTAAACATGGAGGAAGGAACACACCTCCATGGCTAAAAGCAGGCGCGGCGCGCACCTAGCGAGAATCGGAGGCTGAGCCACTCCTGCAACAACACGAAGTACCTTCCGAATTTTGACTATCCAAAACTGGCATGAAATATTCAGAAACTTTGGAAAAAATTCAGGGATTTAGTTCACAGAATTAGAGCCGTCTTCAAGCTTGTGGGCCATCTGGGCATTTTTTGTTTTTCAGGAGGTCTCGGTGCACGCTGTTGC